GCTCAATCATTTGTCTATAAAAAATATTTTATTTTTAGACATGATCAATATCGTTCGAGTTACGAATGATTATATAGCTCTAAAACATGTTATAAAGGTATATTTGCGACCGAAATCCTTAAAACTGAAGAGGTAATTGACAATTTCATTTGGGGCTTACAGTGGCGGATCCACAGAGGGAGTCAAAACCAACTCCAAACATGCAGTCCAGGAGGAAATAATGGGTAAAAAACCCGCACCCTCCCTTAAAATTCCTGGATCCACTACTGGAGGCCTAATACGTCTTATTGCAGAATTGCAAAAGTACAATACTTTATATATATCAGTGTTTTATTTATTTATTTAAAACTCGCAAAAATATGTAACGGTAGATGCCGATACATCTCGCCGCTGTCCTGGTCACTTATTTCTTTATAAGTGAACAGTGCCGAGCTTTATGCGTGTCTCCCGTCACGGACTGCCTGACACTGATGAGACCCAACAGGTCTAAACAGGCTGTCTGTGACAGTCTGTCAGTGTTGATGGGTATGGTGCATTGGACCCTACCATTCGGAAGACGCGCTTCGAACCCGGCTCGGTGACGAGATGGAAGGCATTTCAGTCTTGCAACATTGGTTGCCTACTACTGGCGTAAAGTAGAAAACCTATTGTTCTGATATATATATACATATATATTAATAATAATAATACAAAAGGCCTTTGGGCAAATGTAGTACAAGTTTAAAGGACACGTAAGCAACATTAGGAAAAATGGATATATTTTTATGCGAATAGGACTGATGGAAAAAGACCTAAGGGTAAGCCTGTAATACCTCATCACTTAACAACTTAAAACGAACGTAAGTCGACGTAGGTTCCTTTTAACTTGTAAAATTGTCGAGAATCAGATTCAAATACAAAAACTTTGAATATACCTAAACTAAAGGTTTTCTTCTATTGTAAAATCTTCGAGCTTCGCCATAAATTACAACTGAAGAAAACCCCCTTTAACAAAATTACAAGAGCGCAGCTCGAGTTCTTTTGGCGCCCAAATTTATCATGCTGCGAGTATGTTGGAGCTGTGATAAACGATAAAAGCATCGTCACTATTGTTACAAGGGATGCAACGTCTTTTAAAATACTGTTCATTGCTAGTAACGATAGTGACGACGATCTTATCGTTTATCACAGCTCCTCAGCCTTAAGAGTCAATTTAACAACCACCGACAAATATCCGTCTAAATCGAGCCTCAAGTGGTATTTGTTGAGAAAATTTTACGATAAATAAATTAAATCATTTTTAAATCACAATTAAGTAAGTACTTATTTATTAAATAAATTAGGCTTAAATATATTCATTGTTTAAGGACATTTGAAGCTTTTTTACAGCGTTATCCAAAACGCTGAATGAACTTAACTTTCTGCAATTCAAAATAATGAAACATAATTTGCCTTCTGCAGAAACCCATCTTTCCAGTCGCGAAGAAGGAAGACATTATTCAAAAACTTGTACCTCTGATGCCACGTAGTAGACTTCATTTTTTTCTAATCTTATACACATCTGACGTTCCTGTGTTAATAAATGATTTTGATAACAAAGATCTGCAGTAGTGATTTCTTTCAAGATTCTAAATTTTGCAGTTGCCGACTAAAGAAAAAATTGATTTTTTAAATAAAATTACTAAATTTACTTATTTATCATAATATGATATTATATTTAATTTTATTTTTTTATTATTATTTCGCCAGTGAAATAGCCTTCAGTCTTTTTTCCTGGTATTTTTTTTAAATGAAGAAACACCTGTCGTTTCAAGTCCAAATTACATTTTTTTTAATCTACGAAATCAAAATAAGAATTATAATTTTGCTTTAAAAATGTTTAAAAATTTATAAAAACTAACATTTTTAATACCTTTTCGTAACAAAATCCTATTTATTGATATATTCCTGTGGGCACTAGCCACCCCTTTGAAAATTTCCGACCCAACCTAACTCTAACTACAAAATATAATATATAAGATATTATGGTATTAAACAATTTACAAATGTTTTATTTTGGTAATACATTATTGTACAATAAATTATTGTATAATAATTAGTAATTAATAATTACATTACAACTTTTTATAACATTTTATTTACTTTTAAATGCTGATTTTGTACGAGAATATTGCCGAACAATACCATTACTAGAAACCACTACCGGTCTGCCACTGTAACCAAGGCCGTAGCTAGAAAAAAATTTCGAGGTGGATTTGTTGTTAAAAAAACGGGTGCAACAAAATATAGATTCACTAAATGCCTTGCTGCTCATAATTTACACTACGGACAATATTTATTAATATCTATATTTAAAATAAGTAAAAATATTAGAAAATAATAAAACATTTACGAAATTGAAGGTACTCCTTAACGTATTAGAACAGCTATTATCAAGGCCTTTGATGCAAATAGTAGGAAGAGCGTAAGGGAAGTTGCACGCGACTTTCCCGTTCACAGTTTAGCGGGTTATGAACGACGTTCATTTTAAAAAATATTTAAAATGGTATAAAATCTGTAATATATGGATTTTTTAAATACAATTTTAAACTTGTCGATGAATTATAGTAATTATAAATTGTACTACTTTAATTTGAATTATCTCAAATAGGGGGGACAGGAGGCGGGTGAGGCGACACGAAAAACTAACTTTTTTTCGCAAACTTCAATTTAAATGGATACAATATTATATACTATTATATACCAAATTCACTATAATATATTATTATACAAAAGATAGGTAATCAAATTATAGTACACATTTTAATCGGGCAATTCCAATCGGCTAGTTCCAATATCGCTTTTTATCAATGTAAAACCCGATTGCTTCAGATTATAGTGAATATTGAAATCGACCAATCACCAATGCCTAACAACGTTAATATTGTGTTTATTGTGTGTATCAAGTTTTATAAACGCCATTTTAGTCACAATTAGTCATAATTAGGCACAAGCGTAGTTTGCGAGCGAGTGTATAATAAAACAAGTGCCTCGAGAACTTTATAAAACTAATAATACTTAATACACGTTTTGTCAATGTTTTATGGCCATGTTGTTTTTTTATTAGAATAATCTTAATTGTATTTTTTTAAATTTAAGTTACAATAATAATGATAAATGTCATTATATAAAAATATATTGACAACTTTAATTACCAAAGTTATAAAAATAAATTACTGTCCAATACAAACTTAATCAAATGTCCAAATAAAACAACAAACCTATATTCTAGTACCTACTTGGTTTGTAGTTTAGTTAAGTGGTCTTATAAAAAAATATATACAAGTGGTGTAGAAATCACAGTGCGGGAGGGCCAATGGAACGAAAGCATTAAGGACCGTAATGGGAGAATTCTAACTAAGTATAACTAACAGTAATAACTGGAAAAACGTTATGAATACCAGATATGAGTTTTTGACAATCGTTTATCGTGTAAGTACAATGGAGGTAACATTGTAACACCAGAAGCACAACAAATTCCGTCAACTCTTTAATAATCTTCCAAAATCAAATCCAATACTACACACAAAAAACGCTAGCATAGCATGAATGGGTGAGCCATTAAACCAATGGGATCTTGTAATCCGTATTCCTGAATAACAGTTCCTATAATACCAATAGGTAGTTAGCACTTGGTTTATAATCGTTTACTGTTTTTAAATTAATAACAAAAGTTATCGCTCCTCAATCTATTGATATTCATATTGATATTTATTTGTTAGAATGTTATTGCATTAAATACTAATTTGATTTATTTAATAACGTTACTATTGTATGTATACTATGTATACATTTAACTTAATAAAATCCATGACATTTAGGCAAAATATTTCCCTATTTTGGTTTAATAGTAATTAATTGAGCAAATAACAATTTAGATTGCTTCAATTTTAATGCATTCAATGACAGCGCTGTTCTTGGTACTATGTTAGATTTTTTTCTGTGTATGTAAATCTAAATTTAATATTTTTCAATATTTGTGTAGCAAGTTTTTAAAGTAATTTTAGATAAGTTTTTGGTAGTTTAAAATGAATATACTAAAAAATATTAACAAAAATAAATGCTTGTGTTCCGTAATTTACTGTCAGTACTGTCATTACTGAAAACATTCCGAAATCCACTTTCAGTGATAAAATATTACTTGAAAGTACAAGCAGCATTGACGAAGGCAGGTCGCCGGGGAGTACGCATACGAAGACCCAGAATATGAAACTACCTACTAGATAGTACCTAGAAAATGTTATATATTTGTATTCAGCGGACGAATTTAAGAGTAATTTTTGGTATTTAGCGTATTGTTGTGGTGTCAGTGAAATATTATATTTCCTATTCCTGTATACATTTTTCGACGCGGACGAGATAACATTAAATTTTCCATATTTCTCTGCCATAAACCAAACATTATATTTCGTATAACTGTTATATTTATTTTTTATTTATGTTCTCTGCTGTGCCGAAAGTAAAGTTTGTCAATTGTCAGTAAATCACAAATCATAACCTTGCGTAACCATTGTCACTTGCTGCTGCTACTGAGGCGTGTTCCAATTTTACTATTGCGTCAGTTACTGAATAAATTACGGAACGGTCTTTTTTCGCTACTGACAGTAAAATTACTGATAGTAATGGCAGTAAATTACGGAACACAACCATTACCCAATGTTTTATTTAAAATAGTCGAATTAATAAAATGCAAATTTTATTTTATTTCTTGTACTAAGCAAACATTTTTCTTTTTAATTACATAAGTAGATAGGGTTGAGTGGGGTTATTTAAAATACTAAGTAAGGATATAAACATAAAACGAATCTACATATCCATGACTTAAAATTATTTGACTTTAATCCGGCCCTGAAACGCTGAAAGGGATTAAGCGACGACTTCAGCTGAAGCCTCCTCTCCCTACCACCTGAAAATCTTGGCACGCGTCTCGAAATGTAAATATAGAACAGCTTTTGCGCCTCTCCAGCTCAGTAAAACATCAACCACCATCGAATCTGCTAAAACCGAAAACACTTGGAAAAATATTTTTCACTCTTCAAGTCAAGTGTTAGTGCATAATACCAAAGTTACATCAAAGTTAACAACAATAATTGCAGTCGAGATTTAAGAAGCACGTGCTCATGAAAATAAACGTTTAGTGTCAGATTCTAGTGCGCGGACAGCTTGTTACAACATGCCCAGAGCTTTCCTCTTCTCGAATCGTCGCTATAATGAAGAACAAGAAAGAGCAGGTAAACACTTTTTACAATTTTTATTTTGTTTTAAATGAGATTTATGTTATGTGGTGTACAAAAGATCCAAATATCTATATTTAGATGTTTTGATTACTTCCAAAATATGTTATTATTAGCAATGTTAGTCATTAAATATTAGATATACCTATATTGAAACAGTTTGCATTTTATTGCGTATTTATTAAAAATATATAAGATGCTACCATTTTGAATATATCTAGTTATTGGATTTAATTTATAATTTTAAGAAACATTACAGATAGTTGCTTAATACAAAATGCAATAATAACCGAAGGTGGAACTAAAAGAGCACTTTTGTATAACGAGTATACTCAAGAGACAAAAGCTTTTGTTTGTTTAAGGCATGTTCTCGTTTTAACAGAGACGAAAAACATTAGTAAAAGACAAAAAGAACAAAAATAATTTTTTTTAGAAAAAATGTAATTTTTTAAATACCTACAAGTAGGTAGTAGTTTAGTATTTTAAATTAAGAAATATTGTAGCAAATAAAAACGGAGTCAAAAAAACTAAATCTTATATTTAAAACAATTCTGAAGAATCCCGAACACTGTACCCGTACACTGTACTTCGTAGAGCCCTTGTTAATATGACAATATAATTTTTTCTACTCCCACCTTTAAAACGCCCTTTATCGTACATGTTTCCATGACACTAAGTGACCTTTTAAATACACATTGACAAGTTTTGACTTTACGGCGCTTTAGTCACGGGCTGAAGTTAGCAACAGGTTTTTAGTCACGAGCTGAAGTTAGTTTTAAGTTAGTTGACAGTTGTCAAATGTCATACAATTGTTAAAATAAATTGCCTTTCTTGTAAAATAATACTAAATGTGAAAATTATTTTATTATCTCAATACAAAAATACAAAAATATTATATAGTTTCTCAACGCCAATATTTGAAAAGTTTATATGAACATTGTACTGACCTTTTAATTTCGCCGGCAGTAAACTATAACTTAAATTCGGACACGGACTCTACTGTAAAGTCCTCTTAAAACATTTCCTTTACTTTCACTGTAAAAAACTGTCAATTTTCAAGATTTCGATTTCGACATTTCGATTTATAACCTTTATAATTGTGTTTATAAAATGTAAAAATGTGACATCTGACAGTTTCCCCTGTTGTTTCATAGATGGCGCTCTATAAATTTTTTTGATTTAAATCATTTTAAGATAATAATAAGTATTTGTCGTAGAAAAAGTATAGTATGCACCTCGTTTATAAACTTTTCTATACACTCATTAACTTAAGCACTCGCTCGCAAGCTCGCTCGTGCCTAAATTAAATTCGTGTATAAAATGGCGTTTATCAAATTCATATCAATACACATTTACTCTACCTACTCAAACAATTAAACAGTTATCTCGAAAACGAAGAAATAACGAACACAAATGTATAGATGACAGGTGACAAATGACATATGAGGTGACAGAAGACGTGAGAAATATAAAATTCATCTTTAAAATTACTACCTATAGTAAATTTAAAAGTAAACTACGTACACGTCATCAATAAAACAAAAATTTTACGCATTGGTACCAACACTAAATGACTAAATCGAAGTCTGTAATTGAATATTTGAATGCATTTTAACCAAATTAAGTTGGCAACAATTGTGATGTTGTCATGTTTACATTCAAATTTTTCATATTTAAATGACACATAAAAAAGAATTTGACGTTTTAGAATTTCGAAGCTGTCAGTTGTGTTTTTGAATATTTCGTTTAATTCGTGTATTATTTCGTTTATTTTGTTTGTTGTTTGTGTTATTTTATATCGTTTAGGTTTTCATTGCCGTTTTTGTGTTTGTTATATATCGTTTTTTTGTGTTTCCCATATTTAAAATGCCGAAGCATTTAAATAGTCGGAGTCAAGAGTTGGTGTCATCCTTAATACGCTATTTTGAGGCAGAACGGGATAATAATAGACCTTTGTTACCTTTAACAGCTGTTAGAGAGGTAAATAGGATTATTATTAATTATATATTAGAATATTTAACAAAATATATGTTGGATACATGAAATAATAATATATATACCAGAGACTGACTTTAGATGGCAAAATTTTTGGGTTTTATATCAGAAAATGTCTTTAAAAATGGCTAAAAACATACTTTTGGCGGTGCATCATATAGGTTATAAAAACTCAGACTTTTGACATTTTGGTATTATTCATGTAAACGCCATCTATCGCCCTGTAGTTGCACTACCACTTTCCCTTGATGCAAGGATTTTAGCATGGATGCAAGGATGACACCAACTCTTGACTCCGACTTGACTCCGACTATTTAAATGCTTCGGCATTTTAAATATAGGAAACACAAAAAAACGATATATGACAAACACAAAAACGGCAATGAAAACTTAAACGATATAAAATAACACAAACAACAAACAAAATAAACGAAATAATACACGAATTAAACGAAATATTCAAAAACACAACTGACAGCTTCGAAATTCTAAAACGTCAAATTCTTTTTTATGTGTCATTTAAATATGAAATATTTGAATGTAAATATGACAACATCTTAATTGTTGCCAACTGAAGATGTTTAAAATGCATTCAAATATTCAATTACAGACTTTGATTTAGTCATTTAGTGTTGGTACAAATGCGTAAAATTTTTGTTTTATTGATGACGTGTACGTAGTTTACTTTTAAATTTACTATACGTAGTTTACTTTTAAATTTACTATAGTTTAGGTAAAGTGACCAGATTCTATAAAAAAATAGAGGGACATTTTGTATGAATTTACAAAATTGAAACAATGATACAATGCAAATTGTAGCGCTTTTTAGGCGGATATTATGAGTAATTAAAACTTAATTAATACTTTTTGTGGATTGACAGACACCTTTATCTCTACATATATTAAAAACACAGAAACAATGTGCATATGAAGCAGGGGACCTAAACGTCCCAGCGCTAATTTTAGAGGAGAAAGGAAAGAACAGGTGACCTCCCTGCAAAATTCAAAGAAAATAATTTAAAGATCAATCTATAACGATTATAATCCAGAAATAGATTTTTGGACGCATAGGACCCTTTCCTCGGAACGGGTCACATGTATGTATATATTTTCTTCTTGTTTTATTATTCTTTAACCAGGTTAAGGCCTTAGGGAATATGAAAAAAGGCAAAAAAAAAATCAAAAAGTCTAAAAATGTAAAAAGTCGGCAAAAGTTACTAAATTACTCTCCGGTCCATATATTATCTGTCTGAAAGACAGAGTATTTAGGAACCACCCTGTAAAGAAAATTTAATTTAATGAATTTCAATAGCAAATAACTTTTTTATTTGATGTCGGATGTAAACGAATATTAAAGAATATTGTAGATAAATTAATGGAGAATCGCTCACATTTTAAAAATTTACTAAAAAATTGACGTACGTTTATAATATACAGGTTTAAACAAAAAGATGTTTTTTACCATAAGTTTAAGACTCTCTGTAGAGTGCAAAATCGTATATTGTTATAAATTAAGTTTTAATTATTAAGTCAAGTCTATTCTTAATAGTTTTGTTTTTGGTTCACCCCGATATATTTATTTTTTTGCAAAATATGGAGTTTTTAAAAAAACATTGAATTTCCAATATTTTTTCTGTACGAAGAACTAAGGTTACTATGATCCATCCATAGCCTACGGGGGATGACAGTGACAGTTTTGTTGAGTTATCCAAAAACGGATTTGAGGACGTACGACAGGTCCAAGTAAGCGAAAAAACGATAAGTAGAAGGTTATCTGACATTGGATTACACACCCTAACGGAGCCTCCTCCATAAGCGAAAAATGGTTTTGCTCAAAACGTTCTCCTGTTATCCTATAGATTCTTTAACGACCGTCTGGTGATTTTAAACAAAACCTAGCTTCGAAGGTAAATAGGATATTTTTACACTCATCAATGCCCCAATTTTGATGTTCCCTTCTTATCGTTTTTTCGCTTACTTGAACCTGTCGTACATCCTCCATTCTGTTTTTTACCTTCACAGAAGTTACTCTTCGTTCATGTAAAACATTAAGTCGAATAAATTGATCATCTCGTTTATTCGTACACCTCTTTCTACTACATTGACTTCTTCTACTGTACTTACCATGCTGATTAAATCGATTTACAGCCCTTTGTACTTTACTTCTTGTGGCGTTTAAAACACTTGCCACGTAATACTGAGACCGTCCATCCTGGATTAAAGCAATGGCTCTGGCAACATCAGTCGGAGACATATCCATTTTTAAAAGTAAGAAAACACCTCAAAAGTAACACATTAATACACAAAATATGTCCAAGTCCATACTTAGACATTTTTTGTATATTAATGATGATTCAACAAAACTGCCACTGTCATCCTCCATAGGCTATGGGTGGACCATAGCAACCTTAGTTCTTCCTACAAAAAAATATTTGAAAATGCAATGTTTTTTTAAAAAATCCATATTTTGAACCAAAAACAAAACTGTTAAGAATAGAAGTGACTTAATAATTAAAACTTAATTTAGAACAATATACGGTTTTTCCACTCTACAGAGTGTCTTAAAAACTTTAGGGTTTAGAATTTTCAAACAAAAAAGGGAGATATATATTTTGTACTTACCACAATATATTTTTATCCCCCCTCCCTTTGTCCTCCCCATCCATATGCTTAAACCCCCAGACAAAATTTCTGGGCCTTCCACTGCTTAAAGTCAATAAAATCTGCAGCATAATTTGTATGATAAAAACCATCAATAATTATAATTATTAATTATTATGCACATATCCTATATATGCTGAAAAAAAAATGCTTCAAATACATGTGTATTTCTTCTACTTCTCGCATAAAAAACATTAAAATATGCAGCATAAAAAACAAATTATACACAAATAATATCCATTGACGTACGGTAGCCCAAACTGTAGATTCTGGTTACCTAGTTAATTTTGATGTGTGATGCGCATTATTTTATTTTCTGCGGTGTGAGATCCAAAAGGATCTTTGAATTTGAGGTTAGGTCATCTGTCAAATAAATCTTTTTTTTTTAAGGTTTGCCAGAATTTTATAGGAACTTGGTAAATTGCGTTTTTTTTTCTTTCAAAATACTAGTCCGCTTAAATTTAGATTCCATTTTGGGAATCGCAATCAGAAAATATTCTGATAGTTTTTTATGGCAGTCATTAATTTTTAAAATTGCATTTGATACCAACTTGGTGAAAAATAAAAAAACGCGTTATGTGATTGTATCCAAGCTAATAAAAAAACTTCCAGTTAATTTGAGCTACCATACGTAAATTGATTATAGGTCCAGACGTAATATACCTATTATACAGGTTGTCCCAGAACTCGCGTCACAGAGAAAAAGGAAACGTGCTGAAAGTTATGCGAAACACATACTTGAAAATTAAAATTATCTAACGAAAAGGATAAGCGAGATAAAAATAAAAAATTATAGCCAATCCCAATACATGACCATAGGGAATTTTTAAATTGCTAGGATACTAACGATACATTGTTGATAATATAATATGCAGAATATTTGGTTGACTGAAATCCACTTCATTGTGACTGCTGTCAATTTTTGTTCCTGTCATAATTTATCATTTTCCTTCTCTGATTATGCCGAAATGATGATAATTTATGGGGAGTGCGGGCGCAATGCTATGGGGACAGCAGTAAAGTTGTTCTGCGTTTTAACGAAATTGAAGGTGCTCCTTAACAACGAAAAATAAAGAAGCAATTTTCAATGCCTTTGATGCAATAGTAGGAAGAGCAGAAGGGAAGTTGCACGCGAATTTCACATTCACAGTTCTGCGGGTTATGAAGAACGTTCATTTTAAGAGTGGAATTCTGTAGTGGTTGCTATTTTGGCTCTGGTTTACGGAACTAGTTGTTTAATTTTTACTTTAAAACATTTACGTCCTGAAGTATGACATTCCTTTTTGAAAGGTTAACCTTAATTAGTAAACACAGTCGGACAAAAGATTTTTAAAAGTTTGAAGACAACAATGTTCTATCGTCTCCTAGCAATTTTTGAAGCTTCTACGTTTAACCTAGGCGAGAGCTCTCGGTATTGTCTGCCGCATTTTTTCTCTCATTAAATTACACTTTTACCTACCTAGAAATTGTTTATTTTTAAATTTGGCGTCTCCATTGCTATCGACAAGCCACCTTTTTCTCTGTGCCCGATTTCTGGGACACCCTGTATGATAAAATATAAGCAAAAAAATGCATGCTGCATAAAAAATCCAAAAATGTTCGCAAAAATTGGTCAAATCATGCGCCAACGTCAAAAAATATATTTTTCTACTCCCACCTTTAAAACGACCATTATCGTTCATGTTTCCATGACACTAAGTGACCTTTTAAATACAAATTGACAAGTTGTGGCTTTACGGCTGAAGTTAGTTTTAAATTAGTTGACAGTTGTCAAATGTCATACCATCGTTAAAATAAAGTGCCTTTCTTGTAAAAAAATACTTAATGTGAAAATTATTTTATTATCTCAATACAAAAATACAAAAGTATTAAATAGTTTCTCAACGCCATCATTTGAAAAGTTTAAATGAACATTGTACTGACCTTTTAATTTCGCCGGCAGTAAACCATAGAAAAAGTAAACTATAACTTAAATTCGGGCACGGACTCCACTCGCTCGCAAGCTCGCTCGTGCCTAAATTAAATTCGTGTATAAAATGGCGTTTATCAAACTTGATACATAATATTCCTACTATTATAGGCACCATTAAATTTGAGGGGTGTAGTTATAAGTCACATTCTCCCACTCACCTTAATTGTGGGAAATTGGTGAAAATATTATTATTAGCTAAATTCAAATGTTTTTCATCGAACTAATGTGAAAATGGAAAATTGCAATAAGAAGGATCTAATTCTTAATAAATAGTAAGAGTTTATTAGTAGATATGCTTCTTTTGAGGTGCCCAGCAACCAATTTTTTGATATCATAGAATAGAAGTTTTTTTTAATTATCCATTAGGATGCACATATTTAAATACACTTTGTTTTTTGCTTATTTTATATCTGATTGAAATGTTATTTTTTTATATTTCAATTTGCCTGCTCCGCAAAACATTCTTTTGTCATTGCTGTTTGACAGATATAAACACTTGTCAGTAAATTAACACCTGTTCAGAATCGTGTTTATGTAATATATTTTGCGTGAAAAGTAAGCCTTTAATATACCTAAAGTTCATTGAAAAACTTAAAACAATAAAGATGCCAAGATCCTTTATGATTACAAATTACCGGTACGCAGCTCAGCGGAAAAGCACAGGTTCGTAAATTAATCATAATAACTTATGTTAGTACTTACCTAGGTACTTACCTACTTATTGTTAGTCAAATAATAATAAAGAATATGTTACCTTGTGTAGTGTAAAAGATCGGATTTGTTTGCTCTTCATACAGTTTTTCATATAAAAGAAAACGTCAAATTGAAAGAATGCAACAAGTGTTTTTTGTCGTTTATTTTGTGCAATTAAAACAACTTAAAACCGACAATAAAGTTAAATTTAGTAGCCGAAAGTAATTATTATACACATTTTTGGCAGTATTCAAACATACCATCGACCTCATTGACAAACTACCAGGCCAAAAATAAATTAAAAAATGTTCAGGGCAACATAAAGGCTTTATGATAAAGCTGCCAAGATCCAGTCAAGTATTTATAATTTAAAGCCAATAAGTAATAAAAGTATTGAGTATCCTTCTTACCTTAAGAATTTTGGCACACAAATGAAATTTTCGTATTAATAAATCTCAATAAAACCAAACTAATATTCGTAAAAAAGTGAGGTTATGTCATGTTTAAAAAACCTTTATATAAATACCTAGACAGAAAAAGAAGAAGAAGAAGATACTTAGTCTAAATCTAAGTACCTACAAGCATATACCTATAACTTAGTTATAGGTATATGCCTACAAGTAACTTTTAAGTGTGTTCCTTTCAATGCAAGTAGTAGGTACCTATACAAAATGAAAAATAATCCTTCCTTGCCTTACAAACACATAAAACATTATTTCACGAAAATACAGCTGTTAAACAATCTCAATAATAGAAAATTAATTTATCAAGTAAGGTAATCAAACTATTCGATATGTATACATCGCAGCTGCCATCTATGGGCAAGTAGTTCATCTATAGCATGTGGAGTTTTATTACCATTATTTTTAAATTGTTTTGCCAGCTCAGTTGGAGTTTATTTTACTCAATTTTCTAAAATAAATATTTACATTACCTTATAATGCCTTATAAAAGCTACCTTTGTATAAAATCTACCTTATATTATTTAAATGTGCTACGAGACATGTTAATATATTCTATAGAACTGCATTTATTTTTTTAATCAAGTTAAATTCAAATAAAAAATCCGAAAGAAACTTGATTTAAAGAATAAAAAGTCAAAAGACTTTTTGATTCTTTAAACAAGTTTAAAACATTTTTATGATAGGTACCAATTTAAGTACCTATCAATTGAAAATATTGGAACTAAGCAAAACAGAAGAAGACAAAACGCATATAGGTAGGTATCCGTAATTATAATGAATAAAACCTATGATAATAGACATTTATGTCGTAAGGCTGAGAATTCTCACTTAAGTGAGTCTTTTTGTCATAAGCCCAAAGTTTAAATGCCGGCGCCTATCGGAGGCCTACAATTGAGCGAAGCAAAACAAGACACTTAGCCGCATGGCATACAAAGTCTTAAACAATACATAAAAAATACAATTAAAATATTTATTAAAAATAGTAACGTTAGATATCTAATATTAGATCTGACAGAAGTCGATTTTTTTATTGGTTTAAACGGGTTTTTATAGACTAGGACATAAAAAAACTTTACCTGATTGGTCTAAATTATTTTTACAGTCTAGGTGTTTTTTAATAAAATATAAAAAAATAAAAAAGGTATGATAATCTTTTTAACGTTAAGAAAGATTTTACATGCAGTAGGTACAAACAGATTTTTTTTTAGAAAAAAAACCGAAATTTTTGATTTTTTGTGGGTAAAAAGGAGGACAAAGGAGCATCGATAAAAATGAGTGCAAGTCTTATAAGATGGATATCAAAAAATTAACGCGCGATACAGCCTCTATATGCGCGATTTAAAACATTTTCACAGAATTTGAATTAAAATAGTAAAAACCACGTGTTAAAAAACCATAACAAGGAAACGAGCAAAATGTTGGCGCATCGTCCACTTGTTGGCGCTTTTTGGCTAGTTGCCTATCACACCTTACAAACGCCTCTAATTCCGTACTGAATTTATTAACTCTACGCATCGGACAACGTCATCACCCTGTTGACGAAGCTCCAAGCAATTTTATTAGTGCATTGCTCAACAATCGGGAATATAGAACGCCTCAAATTGGCCAATGTATACTAATTACAACAATTTGAAACAAGAGAGTCACAACTCAAAATTATTTTTGTTATTTTATGATCAAATGACATATTTTAAATCATCACTACCAAATAGGGACGAGACAAACTCCATTCATTAGTAAAGTCAAAAATACCGTAGGGCAATTTGGTAGTTGGTCGGCAAATCACGATAAAAAAAGTGAACCTAACATCACATAACCTATATTTTTTTCCTTGCAGGTTCAAGTCCAGAACATGCAGTGAGTTTGGCAGAAACAAGTGACAATCAAATGTCGGACAATAGTTCGGAATGTCCAGATGAACTTTATAACCTGACAAAGTTAGCTGAGGTGGCTGTGGCCACCGGGCAAATTTTGGAATCCAGAAGACTGTTAACGCCATCTAGCACAACGAGTGATGAACCAGTGCCTTTTACTTATACACACAAACTTTTTGACAAATCGTCCAGAGCCTCAAGACCACATTTACTTAAGGTAAGAAAAGAATGAGTGGCATTTTTGTTGAACAAATATTTTGAATATCTAAAACGGATTGACCCCAATTGTATTGGTATAACATTAATCTTAGCCCAAAGTATTTTAAATTTAACGAAGCAAAAATTAGAGCGCAGATTTCACCTAAATATTTGTCTAAAATTATTTTTACACATGTGTATACAGGTGCAGGTATTTTAGACCAAAACGCAGGCTTAATAATTACAATATAAAATTAAACTTAATATTTAGCGGCCTTCAAAACATGTTTATCATTACTTTCGTCTAATAAAATAAATTATTTGGACCAATTAAATCAAACCTACACAAAAATACAATATTTTCTTTTGATAACAAAAATAGTAGGTTAAGCGCGTCCGAACTTTAAAAGTGGACGACTTTGGTTTAAAGGGAAAAAAGTATCATTTGAGTTCTCTATTTACGGTAAAGCTACTTCCTACCTCATTAAAAAAAGAACAGAAGATGCCTCCGCAGTGGCGGCTCGTGGGTGTTGGTATAGAGCGTGAGGCTACATGAGGTTAATTTTGTCTAAATACGAAAAAATTTCCACGTCACCCGGAAGATATTATTCTGCGACGCGTTGACTTTTTTAAAATGGCCGATAGCCCTACTAAACCAATATAAATTAAAAAAAATATACTAAAAAACAATACAAAGAAAATATCAAAGCAAGGGCAGGAAGACGTAAGTCATTAGCCATTTGGATTTTCCAATAAATTTTATTATTATTATCAAAGCAATCTTAACCCAAACTGCGAAATTCAAAAAAATAAATTCGTTTTTAAAATCTTTAAAATATATAATATATTTATATGGATGGATAAAAATAGAATACATATAAGCGCGGCACAATAAAATACAATGCCAAAAAATAAGCTTTGTTTATAAATACTTCCGCATAGCCACTTATAGGTTTCGTACCAAATTATTTTAAAAGTTCGTGAATATTGCTTACCCTGCCTCTTATCGTTAAATATTGATAACATTTTTGGCGTTGGACGACTGCCCAATATCTGTCTTTTTTCAGTTTAGTTTCTTCTCAAAAAAAGCCTTTTAATTATTGAGAGAATAATGTCATGTAAAAAACAAATATTTAACTAAAGAAAACGGTATTTTGAAAACCTAACCTTAATTAAAATTCAATACAACTTGTTGCTTAAAAAAACTGCTAAATCTACCTTATTTGTGTTGTATGTGATCAGCCAAAAGTTTTAAATAATAATAAAATTAATCTAAATCAAAACAAGAACACCTACCTACTCAATACACTCTGGGAAGCATACTAAAATCCCCACCGTGTGAAAGACACGGAATCATCTACGGTCATGTGATAAAACCACTAATCAGAACAACCTAAGCTAATATTACTTCACCCAATAGAAAAATGCGAACATTTCACGAACTTGGCTGATATATTTCGAATTTAAATAGGAGCTTCCAAAGCTGTGAATAATTCGCCTCTCCCCTGCCGACTCTCAACGATGTAGTGGGGTTGGCCGTGTAAACTAGATCCGCTTTGCGCCTGGATTTTTATTTACGCTTAGTATAATTGATTGGTTCTTTACTTTTTATTGGGTAGAACTGTTGTAAAAATACAAGTATTATGAAAAAGATAAAAACAAAAAGTCGTTCGTTCCTTCATTTTAAGGGTGAGGCGCAACCTCAGAGGCTACCCTGACGAGCCGCAACTATGCCTCCGTGCCAAACAGTAATTATTTGCCGATGTTAAGGAGCCTCGTGTATCGTTTGTGGATTGAATTCACTCCAATAAGGGCAATTTTTCTCTTTAGCTGCGTCTCATTTCACAACAATTTCTAAAAATTGCGGTAGCGTGAAATCATTTATAATGAAATGGCAAACCTTACATGTTCTAAGTTATAACTCAAATGTCGAATTTTTTTTTATCATGGTCAGCTTGAGTTGTCAAAGTTTAGACATCCCTATTGGTAGGTACTTAGTATAGGATATTAAATGTTCAGTTATTAAACCGACACAAAGCAAATATTATTTCATATTTACGTCACAACCAAATTTTAATTGTACCAAAGCTGTGGATATGAATACTATACCGATCAAACAACCAAACCAAATTTTTGTTTATCTCTAAATCTTATGAACCACATTGATTTCAGACTGAAGAACTAACCCAAACAACATTCTCCAAAATCCAATGCCAAACCGTGCCTATACCACACAGTACCACGGGCGATGTTTCGTCCTATCCATCTTCAACATCCGATGGCAACGATCACGAGTGTGGTGAGTGCGGTAAAAGGTACAGCACATCAAGTAACCTGGCTCGTCATCGACAAACTCACCGCAGCCCTGCCGATAAAAAAGCCAGAAGATGCCCACATTGCGACAAACTTTACGTAAGCATGCCAGCCTTCTCGATGCACGTACGCACTCACAATCAGGGGTGCAAGTGCCAGTATTGCGGGAAGTGTTTCAGTAGGCCCTGGCTACTTCAAGGACACATCAGAACACATACAGGTAAGATAATCTTCTCTCTACAATATTTCATTTAGATATAATAAACAAGAAAATACTACGCAAAAAAATCATAAAAAATAATAAAGCGCTTAACCAGGTCGAGTTATAAAAATGGCGAATGCGCCGGGATTACTGCTCAACTTTAATAATTGAGGGGCCTAGAAATAAAAGGGTTTAAGTGCATTTTTGTTAGTTCTGAGATAAATGGCTTTAAAGTTAACTTGAATTTTAAAATTCTAGAAAAGAGTTTAAAAAACTGTGTGAATATTTTAGTTTTGTTTAGACTAAAAAGGATTATAAAGAAAAAGAAATTTTTCAATTTCGCTTTTTTGTTAATTTAATTTTTAATAATGTTTTTTACAAAAATGTACTTGAATCGTCATGCATGTAAGACAAAATTTAGTGGTAAAATGATTTAAGTGCAATTACTCTACTAGAACAAAACTTTATTTTTTAAAATTTGGGTAATTACCCAGCAAATACACTAGCCGGCCATGCAATGGCACATTAATGGGCCATTGCATTATGTAATGGCCCAGTAATGGGTTGGGTTGGGTTGGGTTGGTTTTACAACAAAAAGTATAATTCATAATCAGAATCTAATACAACGTTTTCTTCATCAGAATTAGCTGGTCTTGGTTGGGGTTGACCTAAATTGGATTTTTTTATGGCTCAATACTATGGTCTTATAACTATAGTTTGTTTCTTTTTTTTCTTTTTTTCTGATGGATCTCGATCGTGCTCTGTTTTTATAAAATAAGTGGTAAATTGGCGGAATATAGTCCAATAAGGTACCTAAGTAAATTTTTGTGCTTAGCGGCTTTTTTTTTAGTTTTTGCTGGAGTTACATGGCCTTCTTCTTCTAATTCTTCATTGATGTCAGGAACATAGTTACTATGATGAATCCTCATCAGTCTGGACCGATGCCATAGTCGTTCCGACCCCGGTCACACTATGTCAAAACGAGCTACTTGTCAAGGCTTTAGCAGCATAGATAATAGCCTATGTTTAGCAGTAAAAGGTCGTTTTACCAAAGATATATTTTAAAATATTTTGACAGGTTTTTAAAGACGATAAGAAATGGCGCCAGGGAATGTAAAATGTACTTATATAATTTTACCACCAAGTTAGAATATTCTTTAGGTGTGATATTCTGCACTTGGACCATTTATTTAAAAAAGTGCACTTGAACCGTTTTACTTCCAAGCCCCTCAATTGTCATAAATAAAGAATTATTCTTAATGCATTTTTTTCTTTGAAGGAGAAAAACCGTTTAAATGCTCGATTTGCAACAAAGCCTTCGCAGATAAGTCCAACCTCCGGGCCCACATTCAAACCCACTCCAACACCAAGCCCCACTTATGTGGACGTTGTGGAAAGGCGTTCGCCTTAAAATCATATCTGTACAAGCACGAGGAATCTTCTTGTATGAGAATGAACGGAGGAAGACACTCTTCATCATCTAGGGAGGCTACCCCAGATAAAATAGCTTCTCCAACCCCCGTCATAGTTTCTGTGGGCTCTAGATTGGGAGATAGTGTTATTAAAGGACCTGACTCGACTGTAAGGGCTCCTATGTTGTACAGATCCACTGTCATATCACCGAATCCTGAAAGGATATTGTACTCTACCATTAAACATCCTTCGGTAAGTAAAATCAATTATACATTAAACTGTATCAAAAATTAATATTTATATCGAAAATTTTCCAATTAAATAAACAAAATGCTTTTAATTGAGCTCTTAACATTAATATGTCATGGGTCATTTCACGTCAGATCAAACAGTTCCCCACACCAACTCAGTAGATGTAGATGATATATAGGCTAGAACAGAATCTGACATTTTTTTTCTTAATTCCTCAATAACAACTTACTAAGGTTATTAAAGTAAAAGTTTCTTTGTTTTTTAAGCTGATTTGAAAAATGAAATTAGAGTTTGTGTCTTTAATTGTTTTTAAAATCCGGTTAAAAATTGCCCTTACAAACAAACTTTAACTTAAATAATATGTAAAGGTTAAGAAAATTAAGAAAACATACGACGAATCTTGTGAAAAATTCAAATATTACAATAATTAATTTCTAAGTAATTAATTATCGTAGAACCTTCAAAATTGCTAATTAATCGACACAAAACTTGAAAAAAAATCAACTTTTTCCATTATTGATTTGACGTGGAATAACCTGGGTTGCATCATTATATAATTTTTCTATTTCCCATTTAGATACAGTACCTGGCCAATTTGGGAATTCTTAAAATAACCAAATGTATTTTTGAGCTTAAAAGTGATTTTATTTTTAAGTGTTCTATAATTTCAACTTTATTATTGTCAACCCTTACTACTATAAAATGATTCCCTAGGATGTACAAATAATTTCGAGTAAAGTTATTTACCTTATGGGCTGTAAAAAACTTGTTTGGGCCAATAAAAAAATTCAATAACTCTCAGATCTGCCTAATCTCACTTTTTACTTTTAATAATTATTATTATAATTGTACGTTTTATGTATAGCAAAAAAAGTGTGCCAAAAAGTATCTTTATGTACTTCGCTAAAACTTTTAGCTCAGCACTCGCATGACCTAATAACATAAATAACAATAAAGTTCTATATAGTCTGCTATATTTTCTCACAATATTATAAATTTATAAAATCGCTTTAAGAATGCTTTTTAGGATAAAATAAATTTTTAAGATTAAATTGAAATTATAAGGGACTGTAACATGGGAAGTCCAGGACTTATTTTTGTAGGTATTTTGAAAAATAGTTTAAGGAAAATAAAGCGTTCTACAAAATAAGTCCTATACAATTTTACGATTAGTCTGATGGTTTCGCGTAAAAAGTAGACAAATCATGAAATTTGCTGTAAATTCAACTTTAACCCAAATAACTTTTCAAAGAGTAAAACGATAAAATACCTTTTATTATTAAACATTATTATTTTATTTACGGCCTTACGTGATATTTTTCGAATCAAATCAAGAAGTCAGCCCTAAAATAAATTTTAAAATTGTTTTAAGTGAAACTTTTTACACTTCCGTTCCATGTATCACGTTCATCAAGTTTGGCCAAATATTTTCGCCACACCCTGTATAATGTCTTAATACTAAACGGTATTTTCTCTTAAACAGTGCTACTCAGTGTAAACTTGATGATTTTTAAAATGCATAATTAATATTGTTTAAAACTAATAAAAAGTAGCAAAATCATGAAATTTGCTGTAAATTTAACTTTGACCCAAATAACTTTTGAAAGAGTAAAACGATAAAATACCTTTTATTATTAAACATTATTATTTTATTTACGGCCTTACGAGACATTTTTAGAATCAAATCAAGAAGTCAGCCCCAAAATAAATGTTAAAATTGTTTTAAGTGAAACTTTTTTACACTTCCGTTCCATGTATCACGTTCATCAAGCTTGACCAAATATTTTCGCTACACCCTGTATTAATATGTCCTAATACTAGACGATATTTTCTCTTAAACAGTGCTACTCAGTGTAAACTTCATAATTTATAAAATGCATAATTAATATTGTTTAAATCTAATTTTGTCTTTTTCTAATAGGTGATATTCAATGCAGCAGCAAGATTTGCAGGAAACATCAACCAAATCTTGCAGGATCAACCGATGGACTTCTCAACTTCCCAAAACAACAGAGAATCTTCGAATTATCCAAAAACTTCCGAACGGTATTCCTTAAATCTTGCAATCGCAGTTTAATATCAGAAATCCAAGTGATTTTCAAAAAGGGACCACACAAATTCCACATTTTATTATTAAAAATACACTAACAAAATTACCACAATTATTAAATAATAAGAATTTATGAATTATAAATTTATTATAGTTGTAATCAAAAAAGTATTTATGGGTAGTTCTACAAACTAGGGACGAAAATGAGTCTGATTTTGGTCCGACATTTTTTGTATATTCTAGTTGATAAATTTAGCCTATGATCAGGAATAAACATTTTTTATCCTATGGTAAGTGGATCGGTCGAAATATTTATGGACATTAACAAAAAATCGCCAGGAAACTGAAAATAAAATGAACTGAAATCAAAGCATAGATAGATGTAATTTAGTCAATGTTAAACAATACTAAAAAAAATAGATCAATTTTGTAATCTATACTTAATCTTCAAATAAGGTGAGAATTCTAATTCAGATATCACAATTGATTTTCAGAAACTTGTAACTTAGAAAGTAGCAAATGTATTTTAGTATTAGTAGATATAATTCGGAATTATCCTGCAGCAGCAATTTTGTCAGGAACTGTATAGAGGGTTACTTTAATTAAGCATAGAAAATAAATAAAATCAAGTCAGGAGACAGTTACTCCTAACAATATAATTTCCTGAGAAAATGTCTTAATAAAATGTTTTCATTTGTTTTCGAGATTTTCTCAAGAAATTATATTGTTATTATCTCCTAAATTGATTTTATTTATTTTCTTATGCTTAATATAATAGAGATCATTTGGTCTAAACTTAAACTGTATACAAAGACTCATAATTATATTTTTGAATTTCAATTGACATATTCTGAATTACAATTGCTATTGTCTGAGTATCATTTTTAATTTCTGAACATGAATGGCTACTGTTCGTATATCATTTGCAATATCTGAAAATCAATTGCAACTTTCTGAATATCAATTGCTACTTTCTGAATACCAACTGGAAAAGGTGTAGTTTTGAATAGTAACTTTAACTATTACACAGTACGACAAAATTTGATTTTTTTCCCTCCCATGAAAAGTTTCTATAGATTTTGAAAATAGACTTAAAAAAATGATACCCGTGTCTCGGCGTTTTTTCAGATCACGTCATTTTTTTTAAGTAATAACACACGGTATTCGGCACAAAATATAACAGATTCGATAACAGCTAGACAGTATATTTTTATGAAAAATTTATTCAATGAATAAATGGACAACCTTTAAGATTATTTATTTATTTTAAAATTATTTTAATTATTATGGTTTTGCACATTTACGAAATATGGGTGTTTCAAGTTCGTGGTCCATTGAGAGTTTCTGAGGAACCGCAAAAGATATCGATTTGAAATTTGAAAGCGTTTATAATCTAATTTTTCTAAAATATTTTATTCAAAATGCCACTTCCGGCTTGACCGGAAGTGACATCAACTTTGTTTTTTTTAATGGAACACCCCATATATTTTTACATTTTTAAACTCTACATAAAATTTTAAGTAAAATTATTGTACCTTTTCTATACCTAGAGTAAATAGTTTTGAAGTTATTAATTTTTTCCCTTAAAATATGACAAATGCGCGTCAATCAAAAATAGCCTATAACTTTCTTACTATTGGGTTTGCAGAAATGGAGGTGGAATTTTTGGAATCTTAAAACATTATTTAAAAGATTCCATGTCAATTTCTTAACATATCGGGGTTTCTCGGATAATTTGTTGAAAAATGTTAAAGAATTGACATGGATTTTTTAAACAATGTTTTAAGATTCCAAACATTTTACCCCCATATCCGTAAACCTAATAGCAAATATCTAGAAAACTATTCACTTGGTATAAGAATTTTACTCAGAATTTTATGTAGATTTTAAAAATGTAAAAATGGGGTGTTCTATTTGAAATAACAAAGTTGATGTCACTTCCGGTCAAACCGAAAGTTGCATTTTGTTCAAAATATTAAAAAAAAAATAGACTTAATGGATTATAAACGCTTTTTTTCAAATCTATATTTTTTCCGTTCTCCAGAAAATTCATTAATGCGGTTTGTATCGTTATATGAGCTGAGCCGACGAAAATTCCCTAGTTTGTAGAACTACCCTTATCCCCTATGAGTTTGAGTCTTTTGCATGTTGCTGTGTTTATCTCATAAGAAATTAGTCTGTGAATTATCGTGCCATATTATAGAATTAGTTAAAATATTATATTATTATTTAATATTATTATAATTAAATGCTGTTTCGGATTGGTGCTTATATTAGGATAAACAGCAAATAAGCCCCCTTGTGGCAGCTTATTATCATTATATATGGATGCAAAAATTAATTAATGTATATATACGTGTCATGCTTTTTGGTTATCTCATTTTAGTCCTATTTTCTATAGCGCAGAAATTAATTGATTAGGCATTTAAAGACAATGTAAATTTAAAGTATTAATATAATATTTCTGCGTTATAAATATTATTAACGCGTAGTCCTTAAAATACGTTTAGTTAGAGTGGCTATGATTATACTAATACTATTAGCCGATAATCCAGTTTTTTTATAATTTCTATTAAATGGGCGTTTTTTGGCAAACTATCACAATAATTTCATTTAATTGACCAAATGATTGTGATTTTATGCAAATCAAATAGACGAGAGTGTAACTAGTCTTTCTTAGACGTGTTTTACAAAATAGCTAAAAGTTATGGTAAAACGCGTAGTCATTAAAAATTTAAGTTATTTATTTTTCTATCGATTAAATAAAACTAACAATAGTTTAGGTTTTAGTTTTTTTGTATCGGCTAATGATATAAAATTCCTAGTCATTAATTTTAAGTCGTTAGTTTATTCCAATAAATTTTTGTATAAGAAAATTGTAGAATTGCTCCGTACTTAGTTTTGGTAAAAAAAAATCTCTCATATCATTGTTTTTGTTTAAAGTTTAAAAAAAAATTAAGTTATATCTAGTCTTTAAAGTTTAGAATAATCCAATTTCTGAAAAATTTTGAAGGCCAATGGGTGCAATAATAGTTTATAAGTGAGTATGTATCGTTTATTTATTTTTGAATTGGTAGTTTGTAATTTGTAATGGTATTTGAATTACATTTGATATTATTATATTATTAGCACATATTATTATGGTAGTTACATTTCATTCCCCTGGAATTTTTGTATTCTCAGTTTCATTCCCATAGCATTGTACTTAATGTGTCTGAATTTTTTGAAATTAATTAATAATTAACCCGAAAACCGAACCTTTTGTAGTTTATGTACTTTTATACAATACACGTATTTTGATAAAAACACGTTGTTTTATTTAAAAATCATTTTATAAAAATTTTCTATATTTAATTTATCGTAAGATAAATGGGTAGGTCTTTAAAATTAATCTTGTAAAACTTGACCCGGTTGACTTAATCGAAGGCGCTAAAATTTGGAATATTATTTTTTTATCACCAAACATGTAAACAAACTCGATTTCAACATTTAAAAACCTTACTTACAACCGAAACGATATAAATATTACCTAATTATCTATTCAAAACAAGACATTAATTTTAATGAACTTAACAGCTTTAATTAAATATATTTGCAAATTAATATACTCAAAATTTGTACCAATGCGTATTTTAATATTTGTATTTTTGATTGCTTTATGATCAAAATCGAGATTAATAATAAACTAATATTCAAAGGGTGTTATAAAGATAGTACTAATAAAGGGTGATCCAATTTGAGTTTTCCAACACAAATTTTAGAAAATCTTTAGCTTTTTTTATTAACACGGATGACATTTATACATTCTGTATGCGTAAATGACACCCAATCGACGCGATATACAGGGTGTCCTATAATTAGAAGATTCTACGTACAAAAATAAGAAGAAGAAAACCTATAAACATAGGTCGATAAATGATTCCTAAGGGAGCTACAGCCCCCGAAAGAGGAGCCCCTGAGTATGGTTTTTATTTAATATATCCAAAATCGTTTAATCGTCTTATGCCAGGATTTATTGTCAGATTATGATATTTTGGAGTTTTACACACAAAAAAGTTTCTTTTGTTGAACTTCTATAACATTCACGATTTATGCTTAAAATCACATGGCATTAAAATTCATAGAAAACCGCAACTAGTGAAAAAGATTCAGCTTAGGCCATGGAAGTTCCATGATGGAACACAGCTGCCATGTTAAGGAAAAATTATTCAGGTGACATTTCATGAAATAAGTGAGAGGGTGTCTCTCTTGAACGGTTTTGAGATATTAAATAAAAAACTCTTTCGGGGGCTATAGCTTCCTAAGAAAGCATTTCTAGATCCATGTGTGTATTTTTGTACGTATTCCATAGAATCTGCTGTTAAAGTATTGCATGCTAATCATGGAACACCCTGCATGATAAAATTTCCTGAGAATTTTTTTATATTAAACTAAACTTAAAATCAAATCAACCAATCAAGTTTTAGCCGTTAGCATTAAGCACATGTAAAAACACACGGGCAATTTTAATACATACCGCATTATCTGGTGCCAAAAATGCATACAAAATGTACTTGATTGATTTCTACTAGTTTTAGAGCAAATTGAACAAAATTATATTGGACATTATTGGTATTTTTGCCGTTATACCTAGCATATATATTGGTATTCATTAAATTCTGCAAATTATTACAGTATTTAGATGGCGTATCTAACTGGCACAATAATATGTTTTTGAGATTACAAAGGGAATACTTTTTTTATAATTTTGGCAATATTTCCAAATTTCAAAAAAAGAAGTTATTTTGTTTTAAATCTACCTGAAACATAGTAAACCAGCGAGACAAGACTTTTATCTTGTCTCGTCTCGCCTGTGAAAACAGAAATCTTGTATCGAGTCTCGTCTCGTACGAGAGTCCTGCAAAAGTATAGAAATCTCGTTATGCATAATCTTGTTCCAGTCCAGTACGGTCAAATTGACGGAACGTTAGTGTTATTAAAAGCCATTCTTGGGTTTTATACCTATTGTATTGTATTATAATAATGATCTATGTCAACCGTGTTCGTTTCTAAGTTTATATCTAAAACTAAAACTAAAACCCAACCTATCCCTTGTCTATGGTTTAAACCAAATTGGTGGTCTGTCAGGGGAAGGGAAAGACAGTGCCTCCCCATAGAGAATTAAAGATATGTTAAATATTTTGCTTTATAATATAAACATTCAATATTTGGATTACTTAGATTATAAAATATTCAATTAATGTCATAATAATTTTGAATTTAGCATTATAATAAAAACGCTTGTAGTAGACATATAAACATATAAACCACTGGAAAAATTGAGTTTGACCCCAGTCAGGATTTTTGAATATTCGTGCGGAAAAAATTGTGCCCGCCTGAGCCACTTATAAAACATTCAACACCATGAAATTCGCGTTTTTCTCCAATTTCCAAAAACGTTTCGCCTTTTTTTCTGCAGCACTTAAATAGCATTTATTGAGCCTTTAATAAACCGTGAACCAGATTGTCGTCATTCACAATTTTCCCTACGATCCACTACGTGCGCTTCTAGCAGACCTTTTAGTTAGCAGCGAAGTGCAAGAATTAAAAACTA